GATGGGAGGCTACATGAATGATAGACAGACAGACAGACAGACAGACAGATAGATAGATAGATAGATAGATAGATAGAGTCTTCCTGAAAACCAGGACAGCTGCTGTTGGAAGGAGCAAGTGATGGTGGCAAGGAGGAAACCAAAGCATTTAGTTGAAAGTAAAAACCACATGGTGGCCGAGCTCTGGAGTCCTGGGAACGAAATATTCCCAACTTCTTAGAGGTATTCCCGCCCACCCACTGGCCTCCCCCATACTCCCTCCAAGCTGGGCGGCTGCAGCTCCTCTTCTGGAGGTCTCAGAAGGACTCGTGATCCAGGGTTGGATCAACCTGTCCAGGCAGCACCAGCCTGGGGAGGCTCTGCTTGCCCGGTTCTTGGGAGTCAGTCAGTCTGATGAACAGAGTTTTACTGTCATTACTATTTTCTTCTGGGTAACGTTCTTTCCTTTTGCCAAGACACAAGTTAAGCTTTGCTGTACTATTTCTGCAGAAATGATTTACAGAATTCTGTAGCACCACCCAGCTGTTACTGAGCAAGCAGTATAAACCTCATCTCCACTGGGGTTCACCCTCACATTCCCACTAACCGCGGCATGAAGATGTCCTGTTAACCATTTTTAGGGGGCTTGTCCTCACAATTTCCGCTCTAGCCCTCTCAGAGGCAGCCTAAATCTGTCCTTAAAGTCTCATCTTAAAGTTATGTTTTCCATCTGCTCCTCACAGAGGTCTTTTGGCCTATCCACAGCCTCTGCAGCTCATTCTGACCTTGGTGATGGCCCCCAGCTGGCACCTGCTCAGTTCCTTTGGGAGGCTGTTCCTGCTGGCCCTCCAAAAGCTGGGCACCGCTGGCCTGGAAGGCAGGAGGAACCAGGGGCGTAGTTCCCTGCGGACATCTGCCCATCGAAAGCCCCATTCGAGCGCTGGGTGACTCTTCAGAAGAGATGCCAGTCTCCTGGAGGACCCAAATAGGTATTCGCGGGCTTTCAAAGGCCCCGAGAGAAGAGCAGCTGGCTGGGCCAGCCTGGAAACCGCCCTCCCCGGTGCCCTCCCAAGGGAGTCCAGCACACGTTTGCCGCTGGCGCCACAGGAGCTTTCGTGGGGCTTCCTGCTCCCCAGCTTGTTACCCTGGCCAGGAGGGCGGCCGGCCGGGCG